AATGACAGTGGTATTATTATTAATACTAATATTAATAACATTATTAATATTTTAAATTATAATAATAACAACTTAAAAAAATCTCCTCCAAATCTAAATATTTGTTTACTTGATTAGAGAGGTTCAGCTAGGTTAAGAGGGGCTCAAGTACAAGCTAGATGGGCTCGGGCAGCTATGAGAGGGGGTCAGTCGGCTGAAGGCTTGAGATGGGGAGATCAAAAATCTAAGGAGATCTATGACTAGAGGCTTGAGCAGTGGAGGTGGAGGTCAGTTAAGCTAGGTAAGGATCTCTCTCTCTCTCTCTCTCTCTTTCTCTCTCTGCCAGAGGAAGAGAGGGGTTTTTGGGATTTGATTTGGGGCAGAGAGGGAGGCGTCAGTCTGGAGGAAGGAATGGGAAGTCTGGGCCTGGAGTTTGGCTGGTTGAGGGAATTTGGGTAAGCAAGCGGAGGAGGAGGTCGTCGGGCTTTGGAGTTTGATCGGAGACGGAGGCTACTAGGTCGGGGCTGAAGCTTCGATTGATGGGGTCTTGGAGGTCGGGAGGAGGGAGGATGTCGGAGGGCCTTCGATTTGGATGTGGGTTAGAGAGTGGAGAAGCAAAGGTTTGGGAGAATTTAGGTGTGGGAGCTGGGGCAAGCCAGAGGCCTTCACTTCTCATTTTATCGATGTGGGTAGGAGCTCGATGGGGATGAGGCTTATGCAACCTATAGTGGCGTCATTTTGTAGAGTATGGGCATTTGTCCCTACGGCTGGCAGTCCCATCTAACACCTATCCCTGTGGCTAGCCACAAGAGATTATCCCCAAAAGAAACCTCCAAGCTGCTGTTGGCCTCCAGCAAGTCTCCATTGCAGTAAGAAATTTTAGCTAGTCAAAATTCTTGGTCTTTATGGCGATGATGGGCTCGTCCAGATAGCAGCCACAAGGAATAAGGATGACTTAAAAATTTTACTTCTTCACTGCAAGAAACTTTTTTTTATCTATCCTACTTTTAATTGATGGAGAAGCTTTTTAAGTGTAGAAGTGAGAAGTGATCTATGAACCCATTTATTCCATTAATCTTTTTCATTTTGCCATTATAGCCTTTGCTAGTGAAGAAAGTATACACCTTTTTGCTGTCACAAAGAAAAATAAAAATCTATTCTTTGATTTTCCACATGACTCGCACATAATTCTTGTTAAAGGTACAACTTGCTTATAATGCTTATGCTTCTTGGAAATTCAAAGAGGTAGAGCTAAGTGGCTTGAGAATGGGGAGGAAGACCTTAAGTTTATTTTTAGGAAAATAAATGTCAGGAAGAATATAGAACAAACTTTGTTTAAATTGTATAGCACCTCTGATCCACTATTGCAGATAATGAATTTAAGATACTATAATCTCCAAGCAAAAGAGAGAGACTTTGCTTTCCATCCATCGAGAAGAGAGAAGGCTTTGTCCATAAGGGGAGAGAAATATTGAATGAGGAGTCTTTTAATGGACATGGGTATACCAAAGTAGGTAATTTTTTTAATAGCACTTGGGACATTTAACACTTGGTTGAGATGTATTTGATTTTTAGTGTTGTTCAAGTAAATAATGGAACTCTTAGAAGTGTTTTTTCTAGCCCATAAAGATGTTTAAAGTGATTAAGTATGTCTTTTAAAGCTTGTAAGTTTTAGTTACTAGCCTTTCCAAAGACAAGATGGTCGTCAAAATACATGAGGTAGCCAATATGAAAGCCAATATGAGCAGTAGAGATGTTGTGAGAATTAATTTCCCTATCAAAGAGATTAGAAATTTCTTTCATTCCAATAAAACGTATGAAGGAGGAAAACTTTGACTTTATCCAAAAGAAGAAGAGAAGAAGCCTTCTGAATTCCAATTGATACATATTGAATAAGACACATTCTCAATACAATCTTTAATCCAACTAATGAACATTGGTGGGAACCCATTTTGCTGCATTATGATAAGAACAAATTCTCTAGAGACAATATCAAAAACTTTAAAGATGTCAGGTTTTGCATAAAAGAAGCCATCATTCTTGGGTTTTTTGAAGCCATCAACATTCTCGATAACATTATTGATTAAGTGGGATAGCATTTTGATCATCATCATTGTGATCACTAATCTCAACATACTTGAAATCACGATCTTGGGCCTATTTGATGCAAAATTGATGATGTTGAACCTAATCAACCAAATTGATGTAAGAAGATTAAGCACATGCATGAGGTATAAGGTGGAGAGAAAAGAGAAGGATGCCATTGTTGATTAGATCACCATTTATAGGATTCATAAGTAGATCTTATAATCAAATGATGAATAATAGAAGAGGTGAGTAGACATGGAAGGTCAAACTAGCAAACCATTTTCTATTCAATGAAGAGCAGGCTAAAATCATGAAGCAAACTTATTATCTACAACAAATAGAATGAAAAAATAATGAACGATACTTGATCTTAAGATATTCAAACTTACTCCAAGATCATCCGCTAGTCCTATATATAAGATCATTCGTTAGTCCTATATATAGGACTAGCCTAGCGGATGATTTTAGCCTGCTCTTCATCTGTCATATCCCTCATAACTGTTGACTAAGGCCATACATATACATGAAAGGAAGATGTCTGCAATGAATATACTCAATCTTAAGGTATTTTAACTTAATCCTATATCATCCGCAAGTCAAAAAATAAAATAAAAAACACGAACATACAACCCTCCTTTTTCTGTCATATCCTCAAATGCTAAATTAGGTCATACATGTAATAGGTTATCATCGAATAAAAGTGTATCGTTGGTGTAAAGACTAATTCATGATTATTCCTTAAGACATTGAAGTGAATCCTGATAATATGAAATTGAATCTTGATGTGTTTCCACTAAGAACTTCAAAAGATTTACAAATGCTTACTAGGTGGAGTGGCCAGCTTAAGCTGATTTATTTATAATTCTAGTATAATGCTAAACATTTTTGAGTGACTGAAGACTATGATATAGTCTTCTCTCAATTGAAGTAGTTACTCTCTTCATTACCTCTTCTTGAGGTGGAAATTTGCTTAATTCTGCTCAAAAGGGCTGGATGTGAATGATCCTCCTTTAATTAGGCAAGATCCTGAGAGGGTCTTGGATTTTTTTTTTTTTTTTTTTTAGGAGCTTGGATTCTTTTTTTTTTTTTTTGCATGGAGAATCTTTCTCCAACATTAGTCATCTCCTCTTGATGACTAGATCCTTACTTCCAAGTGCATTTAATCCCATTTGTTACTGACCATTCACAAAAAAAAATCATGCTATTAAAGGTTAATCATTCTTTATGATTTCTTAAATGGGCAGTATAATTCAAGCAATTACAAATATCATATGTGTTGAGAATTGTGATCAAGGTATATGCCTTGATTGACTTCATCACAAACTTCAAAATATAGATAGATTTTCCCAAGAAGGAAACCCATGAAGACCTACTCTAGTTGATGCATATAAATGGACCATTAGGGTATCCAAGGAATGGGAATTGGTGTTGTCTTGAAAAAACCTGGTTGGCATCATCTTATGACATGCTAGGAAGAACTTTTCAAGTAATTAACAACTTGGATGAGTTCAAGATCTCTTTGGTGGCTTGAGGTTTGTTCAAGGAATCGGGGCCCATCATATCTCTATAAATTTTGATTCTCAATTAATTGTCAATCAAGCCAATGATAGATATAAAATCAAATATTCAATAATGCAAATGTGCTTGTATAAAATCGAAGCAGAATCAATCATTGACATCATTTGACGGCATAGTCGACCTCCATCATCA